ACCACGACCAAGTGGGATTAATTCCTGGACTGCAAGTTTGGTTCAACATCTGTAAGTCAATCAATCTGAAGCAATACATTAATAAAAGAAAGAGCAAGAACCATATGATTCTCTCAATAGATGCTGAAAAAGCATTAGACAAAGTACAATATCCTTCCTTGAGCAAAACTCTTCAAAGTGTAGGGATAGAGGGTACATCCCTCAATATCATCAAATCAATCTAGGAAAAACCCACAGCGAACATCATTCTCAATGGGGAAAAACTGACAGCTTTGCGGCTAAGATCAGAAACACGGCAGGGATGTCCACTATCACCACTGCTATTCAACATAGTACTAGAAGTCCTAGCCTTGGCAATCGGACAACAAAAAGAAATAAAAGGTATCTAAATCGGCAAAGAAGAAGTCAACCTCTCACTCTCTGCAGATGATACGATACTTTATGTGGAAAACCCAAAAGACTCTGCTCCAAAACTGCTAGAACTCATTCAGGAATTCAGTACAGTGTCAAGATATAAAATCAATGCACAGGAATCAGCTGCATTTCTATATACCAACAGCAAGACAGAAGACATCCAAAACCGTAAGATTCCTAGGAATAAACCTAACGAAAGAGGGAAAGAATCTGTACTCAGAAAACTATAAAGTACTCATGAAAGAAATTGAGGAAGACACAAGAAACAGAAAAATGTTCCATGCTCATGGACTGGAAGAACAAATACTGTGAAAATGTTCATTTACCTAAAGCAATCTACAGATTTAATGCAATCCCTATCAAAATACCGTCAATTTCTTCAAAGAAATGGAACAAATAATCCTAAAATTTATATGGAACCAGAAAAAAGACCCCATATAGCCAGAGGAATGTTGAAAAAGAAAACCAAAGTTGGTGGAATCATAATTCTAGACTTCATGCTCTATTACAAAGCTGTAATCATTAAGAAAGTATGGCAGTGGCATAAAAACAGACAAATAGATCAAGGGAACAGAACAAAGAGCCCGGAAATGGACCCTCAACTCTAGGTCAACTAATCTTCGACAATGGAGGAAAGAATGTCCAATGGAAAAAAGAGTCTCTTCAACAAATGGTGTTGGGAAAACTGGACAGCCACATGTAGAAGAATGAAACTGGACCAATTCCTTACACCACACACAAAATTAGACTCAAAATGGATGAAAGACCTCAATGTGAGAAAGGAATCCATCAGAATCCTTGAGGAGAACACAGGCAGCAACCTCTTTGACCTCAGCCACAGCTACTTTTCCTAGAAACATCGCCAAAGGCAAGGGAAGCATCGCCAAAGGCAAGGATGTAAGGGAAGCAAGGGAAGCAAGTAGTTCATTTTTTAACTACTGGGACTTCATCAACATCAAAATCTTTTGCACAGCAAAGGAAACAGTCAACAAAATCATAAGACAACCAACAGAATGGTAGAAGATATTCTCAAATGATGTATCAGATAAAGGTCTAATATTCAAAATCTATAAAGAACTTCTCAAACTCAACACCCAAAGAACAAATAATCCAATCAAGAAATGGGCAGAAAACATGAAAAGACATTTCTGCAAAGAAGACATACAAATGGCCAAAAAACACATGAGAAAGTACTCAACATCACTTGGCATCAGGGATATACAAATTAAAACCACAGTGAGGTATCACCTCACACCAGTCAGAATGACTAAAATTAACAAGTCAGGAAAAGAAAGATGTGGTGAGGAGGCGGGGAAAGGGGAACCCTCATACAATGTTGGTGGGAATGCAATCTCGTGCAGCCACTCTGGAAAACAGTATGGAGGTTCCTCAAAAAGTTGAAAATAGAGCCACCCTATGACCCAGCAAACACTACTGGGTGTTTACCTTAAAGATACAAACACAGTGATCCAAAAGGGCACGTGCACCCCAATGTTTATAGCAGCAATGTCCACAATAGCCAAACTATGGAAAAGAACCTAGAATGGATAAAGAAGATGTGGTATAGATAGATATATAATGGAATACTATGCAGCCATTAAAAAAAAATGAAATCCTGCCATTTGCAACAATGTGGATGGAAACAGAGTATTAGGTAAGCGAAATAAGTCAACTGGAGAAACACAGTTATCATATGCTCTCTCTGATATGAGGAATTTGAGGCAGGGTGGGGGATCGTCGGGGGTAGGGAGGGAAGGAATAAAACAAGATGGGATGGAGAGGGAGATAAACCATAAGAGACTCTTAATCTCACGAAACAAACTGAGGGTGCTGGGGTGGTGGGGTGGTAGGGATAGGATGGCTGGGTTATGGACATGGGGATGCTATGTGCTATGGGGAGTGTTGTGAAATGTGTCAGTCTGATCTGATGATTCACAGACCTATACCCGTGGGGCAAATAATACATTCTATGTTAATTAAAATAAAAAAAAAGAGTGACATGCAATATATAATTAGGTATAATGCTTGGCACTTGGTAGGCAAATGATCACCTTGATCATTATTAAATTGTATGTTTCCTGACATTTACAACCTTTCTCTTTTTACTATCAAACTGGGGTTCAGAAAATTTATGTGACTTCAGACCAAATTTGTGTTCAGAAATTTATGTGACTTCAAGAAAATAAAATATTGCAATGCAAGAAAAGCTTTCAAGTTAGAGAATAATCGAAGTCAAATTTACCTACAAGGTAAGGAAAGCAGAATTTAAAGCAGAAAATGAGGGGTGCCTGGGTGGCTCAGTCAGTTAAGTGTCTACTTTCAGCTCAGGTCATGATCTCTAGGTCCTGGGATGGAGCCCTGTGTGCTGGGCTCCTCGCTCAGTGGACAGTCTGCTGTTCTCCCTCCCTTTATCCCTCCTCCCCATTCGTGCTCTCTCTTCTTAAATAAGTAAAAATTTTTAAAAAATCAGAAAAAGAAGGTTTTGAAGATAAATGGTAGCAGAATAGGACAACATGATTCACTGGAAAAAGTGAAGGTCATTAAAGGCAGAAAACAAATAATGAAAGTAAGGAAAAAATATATTCACTGATGAAAGCAGAAATTAGGAAGAGTAAGAAATAAGGTCATTTACGTAAATAGAGGTAGAAGGTAATAAATCAGTGTGGATTATTGTAAAGCATATAATCAGTTGGGCAACCTGTAAATGTTATGAAGAGTCTGGATAGATTTTGTACTAATTAGAAGTAGTAACGCTTTATAAAATAAATCCAGTACAGAGCTCTGCTTGCTGAACAACTGAATAAATAAAACAATGGCTGAGAGGGGCGCCTGAGGGGCTCAGTGGGTTAAGCCGCTGCCTTCGGCTCGGGTCATGATCTCGGGGTCCTGGGATCGAGTCCCGCATTGGGCTCTTTGCTCAGCAGGGAGCCTGCTTCCCTCTCTCTCTCTGCCTGCCTCTCTGTCTACTTGTGATCTCTGTCAAATAAATAAATAAAATCTTTACGAAAACAAACAAACAAACAAACAAACAATGGCTGAGAAACCTGAAAAAGGAACAAGCATAGCTTGGCAATAGCTGAAGTCTGGGATAGCATGGATATGTATTTCTGATGTTCTCTCCCAGGCGGGGAGGATATGAAAGGCTATCAGCGATACAGAGAAAAATTAAACTAGGAAGCATCGAAGAGCCCATAGGATACACAGTGACGTTTAAGTGTCCTCAGAAAAAAAGTGGCCACCAGTGTGTAAGCAGGAGTGGTCTAGCTGCTGAAAAGCAAAGGACTATACAACAGAGGACCATTGCTTATTTTTCTAATGATAATTTCTGCAGAATGACCAAAATAAAAATAGGTTTTACATGGTTTTAAGCAACAGTTGGTAGGTAAAAAATAAGAAAGCAACAAAGAATTTGTAATGAATAGGTATGAAGCTAGATGAAAGGTCAAAATAAGGTCATTTTTTGCAATGGGTAAGCTTTAAAGGCAATGCAGACTTTAATACAGAAACAATGAAAGTTACTGAATGTTATCTATCATACTCCAGAGATTGTTAAGTTAGCTCCTTTGCCTCACCACCAGCCCAGGCTGATTCTGATGTTTTTGGCATACAGTATTTTCAAAACAAGAAGATTTCACATAAAATTTTAGATTTCTATCTTTTCTTTAAAAATCAAGGCTCTGACACCCTATGTCCACACACCTACATGGCAACAATCTGTGGAAGCTAACTAGGAATGTGCCCTCAAGATCACCACACCCCCACCACTCATCAAGTCACACCAAATTTAGTCAGGTAGAGGCCCATGAGCTTTGAAGATGCATCTACTGCTTTATAAGGGATCTGGCTGGACATCATCTCTATGATGTGAAAATCCTCTGATGTAGTCAGGGATGAGCACATTTTTAATACTCTATTTTCAAAGTAGACTCAAGAGAGAATTCCCCCAAGTTAAACTTCTAGTAAGTTGTAGAATTGAGATTCTAATCCAGTCTTATGATTCTGAAGATAATTTCCCCTTCTGATGACCCTACGTCTCAACATGATGGGAAGGTGCATAACTTGAAGTAAAGTCACAGTCACAAATTAATTAAAAACAACAACAAAATCGCTTAAAGTCCCTTGTGATAAAATCTAAATCTCTTTAGAATCTAAAATCAGAATTTATGGGTTAGACATATACCCATATACACAAAGACTGTATCTATGCCTACATCTATTTCCATTACCTATATATACTTATATAAAAAAAATTTAGGGCGCCTGGGTGGCTCAGTGGGTTAAGCCGCTGCCTTCGGCTCAGGTCATGATCTCAGGGTCCTGGGATCGAGTCCCGCATCGGGCTCTCTGCTCGGCAGGGAGCCTGCTTCCCTCTCTCTCTCTCTGCCTGCCTCTCCATCTACTTGTGATCTCTCTCTGTCAAATAAATAAATAAAATCTTAAAAAAAAAAAATTAAAAAATTTAGTTTTAAAAGTGGAAAAGATATACTTTTGCTTTATGAAAATATGTTACTAATATTACTCTGCAAGTGGAAACAAAATTTAAAAATCCCAACTTTACAAAAATGTGAGGAATCATAAAAACTCACCCAATAAATTAATGCCATCATTTACAATGAGCTGTCCATGACGCAAGTAGTTCAAAATGGGTTCAAAGTACTCAGGACTTCGGTCAATTAAGAAAGCTCCTCTATGATCTTGCTTATTTCCCCAGACACCTGTGTCACCATTATAGTGAAGAGAACCCCCCCATGAACAATAAACAAAGTTAGAAATTTAGGAAGAAAAATTGTGTAACATACTAATAAGTTTTCACTCGTGTTAAAATTATCGGTATCATTAAAAAGTACAGAAGGACAAGATTTAAGCCAATACAGCTATAAAGAGATCTCACAAAATGTGAAAACAATGTGTTGCACTCACCTTTGTCCTTAAACATGTGGGCCAGCATACTGTCGGGTTCTTTATTCACTAAAGTGCTCCTAAGAATTCAGGGAAAAAAATTGATTTCTCCATTTGTCTTTATAAACAAACATATAAGTCAAGAGTACACTTGATCCCAGCTGCTCTCTCAAAAAGATGCATGCTATAACCTGGTAGGAGTGATGCTGGGAAACAAAAATGTGCAATAAGTTGCCACTTGTCAAAATCCTTTCTAATCTGGTATTTCCTTTGATTCAAATATTGTTTTAGGTTCCTTTAACTTAAACACTAATTTATCCTTCTAGCAAGCTATTATAGCATAATATTCTTGACCTAAACTTGCCTTGTTCTTACCCCTTTAACATAAGCAGTTGTAGTTGCTACAAATTTCAATACTGTTCATTTTTATTTGTGTTACATGTTTACTACCTGACATCTAAAAAACCTGTTCTAAAACCCTAAAATACTTGATACCTAAAAAGCATGTTCATGCCTTTCGTGCTTTCTTTGGAAAGACCTGTGAATCATTCTTCTACGCTTTAAAAAAACTTTCTAAAAAATGGTTTAAGATCACAAGGTACTATAGTCTTTTCTAAGGAAATCATCAAAACTGAAGGAAAGAACAAATACTACATAGTGTCCTCAAACACACACCTGTGCACACATTCACATGCACCTACCGTGTAGTTGTAAAGTACCGCCCTCCAACATTTAAGGTTAGCCAGTCTGTGTGAGATCCTGACAACCCTTCAGGTAGTTTAGAATCTGTCTGAGGATCTAGAAATGATATGTAGAAAACAATAAAAAAGGTAAGATTGAGTTAATGGGGAAGATGGCAATAAGCTTCAACTTTGACAGTAAAAACATACATAAAAGCTTAACAGAGCTACTAGAGATGCATCCACAGTATTTAAGACAAAACCGATAAGGTAATCCCACAGATACAAGAGCACCACGGTATTAGCATCTTTGAAGGAAGAAGCTGACAGAAACAACAGGTTGGGTGATGAACCTAAGAATTTCAAAGTAATCCATACTCACTTCAAAGCTTGGCAAATCTATTTGAGAATAGCGGACTAAAAGTGGAAGGGGTATGTTCAATCCATGGGTGGGTGAAGCAAGTAGTTTGCAGTAAGATCTGAGGAGACTAGAAATGAACCTCAAAACCCACCAGCCAAAACTCCCTTCTAGGACAAAGCCCAATACACCAAGGATAAGATGCTGGAAAAAGAACCCAAGCTGAACAGAACAAAGACAGAGACAAAAGAGAAGGGAGTCCAAATAAAACTTAAAAAGGTCTGAAACATCCAGAATACATCAGAAGGTGACGTATATATTTTTTAATATGTCACACAAATAACAGAAAAGTGAACTTCAGAGCCATGAAATTAGAAAACCTTCCCTAAGTTAGCTTTCCCTTCTCAAGTTAAAGAAAACAATTTCACGTTAAATGGGCAACAGAAAATCTCATACAAAAATTTTCAAAGAATAAGAATTACATCCCTATAGACAATGAAAATGTGCCAGAAAGAAATGCCCCCAAAATAGATAAAAACTATTACCAAAAATTCCAAACATGCTAAAAGTAGTAAATAATATAAAATATGAAAAGAACATAACCCAGAATTACAAAATTCACAAGTGAGGTGAGAGAACTCAGAGGAGAAAATGAGAACTATGATGAAAACCTAATTCAGGGGGCCTGGGTGGCTCAGTGGGTTAAAGCCTCTGCCTACGGCTCAGGTCATGATCCCAGGGTCCTGGGATCGAGCCCTGCATCAGGCTCTCTGCTCAGCAGGGAGCCTGCTTCCCTTCCTCTCTCTCTGCCTGCCTCTCTGCCTACTTGTGATCTCTGTCAAATAAGTAAATAAAATCTTAAAAAAAAAAAAACAAACCTAATTCAGAAATGAAACTACACTAGAAGAAACACAGGAGAGAATAAAAAGGTAATACCTCAAGGGAAAGAAAAGATGAAAAAGAGGAAAACTTTTAAAATAATAAGAAATGAAGGAAGAGATGAAAAGGAGTGCAGAGAAGATTTCCGATTATAGAAGACAGGTGTAGAATATCCAACATACAAACAATAGGAGTACTGAAAGAAAATTAAAGCAGGGGGACAAAATAAATGCATAATTTAGAATTCAAAAAAACTTTTCTGAAATTAAAAAAAGATTCAAAAGTACATATTAACAGGGTCCACCACTTATCAGAAAGAGAGAATCAGCTCAGAATACTCAGAAAAGTCTACCAAAATTACTGTTCTTTAAAGAAAGAGAATAATCCTTTGAGTGACCTAGGAAAAATAATCATTATGAATGGTATTTTTTGGACACAAACATTTTATGCCAGAATAAGACAGAGTACAACATATTTAAGATATCTGAAGAAAGAAAATATGAACCAAGGATTTTTTTTTCACAGCTTAGTTGAGAGATAACTGATATACAATAAAACATACATCATTAAAGTTTTCAATTTGTTCAGTTTTGACATATGATTTTACATCCAGTCAAATTGTCAAAAATAGAAGCCACAAACTGTTATTAACATGTGAGATGTCAGAGAACATTGTTCTTCTTGGAAGTTCTTTGTAAAGAATCTACTAGAGAATAAGTTTCAGACAACCACTGGAGGCATCAACATAAGGATTGGGGGTGAGCATTAAATACATTTGAAAGAGTAAAGCTAAGTGACAGTTTTAAGAGAGAGTATAGTATATAATAGCTATGTAAGCTGATAATGTAGAAACAATACAATTATTTTTTAAGTAAGGAAAGAAAGGAATGAGCATTTGCAAAAAAATGTTTAACTGTCTTTAGGATTCATATTGGTACTGAAACTATTGGAATGGATACTGACACTTTTATGTGTGTTTTGTGTGGGATGAAATGAGTACTTATGTGACATAATTCTATCATTCCCTACATTCCCCCAAGCCAGAATTATTGATATGGATGAAAGGAGACATAGGTGAAAGACAGAAAAGGTTAAATAAAAATCTTAACAATCCTGATTATAAACCAAAGTATGAGTGAATATGAACCCAGGAGAAATTTTACCTCTTATAATGCCATATATTATATAAACATTCTTATCATGTATTACACATAAATTTCATTTCTAGCTAGCTATGTATTTTCAACTCTGTCTACCAAAAAGCCTAGTAAAATAATGAACCCAGTGGCAATGAGCCTGTCTGACACCCAGACTGTGTTTTGAAATGACATTTCTTACTAAAAGACATTAAGGCTTCTTGGAAATCATACTGATCTGGGTCTGCAACAGAAGTATAAGATGAATACCTTGTTATTCCAGAGAGTAAGGAAGCTATAAAAGACCAACGGGGTTGTAATAAAAGGAGTTGAAGAGGTTTCCACCAGTCAAATGTAAAACAATGTAAGCATCCATAAACGCAAAGCATGAAAACATACCAAATATTTTTAAATCCAGAAGTTCATAACGGTAAGACAAAAACATTACTTGATTACTTTTTGTTTGTATGTGTACAATGAACCAATTAAGTGACCACTGCCTGCTAAATACTTTGTTAAGCTAATGGATAAAAGATTTGGAAAAATTTGTGCTCATCATCTTAAGATAAAGACAGAGAAGGGAATGTACTTACTTCTAATTTGGCAACTGCCTGTGTGATGATCCTAAGAATTCCCTCCGCTCACCAAATACAATTACTGTCATGGCTTACACAAATTCTTAAATATTCAGGGTCAGACTGTATGGACCTAAATATATCAAATACTCATTAAAGAACAGTGATGTTATTTAAGCCTTAGTCTCTTTTTCTTGAGATGCACAATTGTATAAACTTTCTTCCAAATCAAAAAGTAGCCTATGTGTCTGTGTATGTGGTTGATATCAAGTTATTTTGACTGATCTGATATGACCACTGTGAATGATTGTCAAATGCTAACTTAGGCAAGTAATGCACACTCAAAATTTTATAACCTAACACAGGAATTGGGACAATTACTCTCAAGGAGAACATATCAGAAAAAAGTTGTATTTCCACAATCAAAATGACCTTATCATGTCATTTTTGATGAACCTGTGCAATTTCAGTGCATTTTAAAGGCATGTAAAAGATGAGGTATCCATACTAAAATATAATTCAAATTAAAACTTTACTTCAACACACACCCGATTTAGAATACAAAAAGGTATGAAGATCTGAATGCTGTCATGAGATCCTTTTCAATTAAGCTTAGTAAGTGCATGTAAAATATTTGCCATCTTTTTCATTTTGGCAGATAAAATTGGCTTGTAAGGAAGTCACTTACCAATAAATGGTTCTCCTTCACACACAAACAAAACATCATCATCCCTGGGAAAATCAAAATTTAAAAGCCACCATCAAAATCCAGAAATCACATTAATTATCAGTTGACTAGAGGACCTATACCTTAGAATTATGCAGATGACAGGTTTTGCTATCAATCTATATTGCAAAGAAACTAAGTTTCCAGTGCTTTGCTTAACTTCTTGACTTAACCGTCTTTGGATTTAAATTCAAATAAGGTCCTGCACATGGAAGAACTTTTAAAATGGTAAAAACAAACAAAACCCACTATGCAAATCATGTGAATTCACAGCTTTCTTATCAACTGGAGAACATACTCTCATGCTCAAGGGATAATGATTAAAGGCACTGCCAACTCTTCTTTTTTTACTTTAATTCTATAACCCTAAATAAATTATTGGGTTTTTCTTCTAAATCATCAGCTGCTCTGTGCTCTGGAAATGAAAATACATTTTTATGTTACATCTAGGAAGAATAAAATTGCAATCAGAACTCCGCTATAAAAACTCATTAACACCCACCACACACCCAAAGGTAAAATGATTGCATATAATCCAAAATTCTAGATTATCAGTGCATATTCTACTCCCCTACCTCAATATATCTCACTATTAGCGCAAATAAATGATTAGAGATACTGTGAGCCACCAGTTCTTAATCAAGTAGATATTTTCTAGTTCAGCAGGCTTCAGTTCTAACCTATGCTGTAGAAATTTTTATTTCCTATAAGGTATCATAGGAATACACTGAATGTTTCTTAGAGGCAGCAACTGGGTAAGGAGAAATTTAGCTTGATGCAAATCATCCAACAATGAGACTCAATTATCTATCAAACCAGAAAGAAGCTGGGAGACAGATGTTGAAAAAACTAAGAAATTCTAATTGATTTGGATTTTAAAGCTATATCTTTTAAGTCTACAATCTCTTCTACTTAATCACTATGCCAATTAACTTTTTAAGACTAGTATGAACATCTGTTTTCTTCTCATTAACAAAAATCTACTAAACTGTGTGACCCAGGTTAAGACATTGAACTTCTGAGATGTTTAGTTTCCTCATTTATAAAATGAAGAGATTAGAAGCGATTACCTTCAAAAGCAGTATATTATGTTGAAAGGTCATTCTGACCTGAGTTTAAATGAAAACTAAACTTTGAATTAGCTTTGTATTTTTGTATTAGCTACTGTAATTTAGCGCATCATTATCTTCATACCGTCGTTTTAAAAAATCCCATGTCTTGACAATTAAATGGAAGTGACTTGGGCAGAGTCAGTACTTAGCATTCCCTTCCTATTTTCTTTCTCAAGTCTCTTCTTGCTTCAAAATTCTATGATCCTATGAGGATGGAATGAGGTAAACTAATTTGTTTTAAGGAGATAGATCTGCCTGGGATATTTAAAAACAAAAACAAAACCTAACAAAAAAAAATCACTATGGTGGTGATCACTGGTGAGTTAACCCTACTTAAAGCTCTACTTTATTTAGCAAGTTTTTACCAAAGTAGGTCCTTGTAAGGTTTATGAAATTCAAAGCATTCTTAGGAAATGAACTGAACAATAAGCAGGATTGATATATAATCAAATTTGATATAATCAATCAAATTTGAAATAATCAATTTGATATAAAATCAAAGATATCAATCAGATTTCCAATATTAAAAAAATGCATGTCTTCAGAGTCAAAAGTTCTAGGCATCTGAATTTTGAAACATGCTAAGTGGGTATTAGCCAAACCCAAATTATAAGCCGGTGGGAAAAGAAGTAGAAAAGATGTGGTGAGGGGTGCCTGGGTGGCTAAGATGGTTAGGTGTCCCTTTGGCTCAGGTCATGATCTCCAGGTCCTGGGATTGAGCCCCACATCAGGTTCCAGGTTGCCTCAGCAGGGAGCCTGCTTCTCTTCTCTCTCTCTCTGCCTCTCCTGCTGCTTGTGTGCTCTCTCTCTCTCAAATGAATACATAATTTTTTTTTTTTTTAAATGTGGTGAAATTAACAACTGGAAAACACTGGGCAAATTGGTCAGTTGACAAACTGGTTTTTGATGAACTGTGTAAATTAGTCATTTAGCAAACTGGCCTGTTTTGCTGTGAGGACTATTTGTATACCAAGTGGAGAAGGATCAACATTTTAAATTTATCTTACAAAAACACATGTTCAGAAGCAATCAAGTCATGAGTTAATGTACGTACATCAATTCTATAATACCAAAATAAATTTTGACACCCCTCCTGAATTGCACATCCTATTAGATCCACCTCTAACAGAAAGAAAAAAATTCCATGTATGAAATATGCAGAAAGACTATCAGAATATTGGAATCTACTGAGGATCTTCTACCATATAGTAGAAGTCTAAATTACTTAAATTCTAAAGAGCAAATATTAGGCAATCATTTGCCAAAATTCTGTATTCTTACCAGTAATTAAACTACTGCCTAAGGGAAACAGCAGAACACCAAGATGCTGAGGGAACACTGTAGACAGCTTATAAGAAGGTGAAGGTTACCTGATCAAAGCAATATCATCGATCAGTCCACCTTTCCCATTATACACACTGGTGGCTTTTATGCCGAGTTTACTGCTGGCCACAGAAAGCAAATCAGATAAAGTTCCATACACAGCGACCACCTGTGAACACACCAGATTAATTTGGACAACTTATATAATGAATTTCATTATTTACAAATCATAAACCACCATACTATGAACAGGACTAAAAATCAGACTATCAAATAAAAGGAGATTTTGAGAGGTTCTTGTATCTAGTATTGCTGAAATCCAAAATTAGAGTGTAAGAAATCATCTCCGCATGAAAATAATCTACTATCTTATGTATGTTAAATAACACTCTAGTTCTGAAGACAGACCCACACCTGCATGTAGATTCTGACATCCTCTAGCTGTCGACATGAAACAAATTAACTTCTTCATGCTTCTGTTGCTTTAACCGAAAATGAATAAAAGTCACACCAACATCAGATCATGAGGATGAAATGAGTTACTGCATGGTATGAGCTTATTAGCAAAGTGCCTAAGACCTCTGTAATGTTGTTTTTATGTTATTCCTTTGTTATAGGAATGGTTTATTTTAAAAATAGGAATATTTACTGTTTATGATAACATTTACTACATCAACCACCATGTGAAAGGTAACAACTTCCCACTTCATTTAATTCTTCAGTAACTACTGATATTATAAAAGCCAGATTTTAGCTAACATTCTAAATACAGCCAACAGCTGGGATACAGTGAATTGTTCTCTCCTGCTTTACATCAGGCACAGTAAGATAGATGTAGGAGCAATGCAACCGCATAGGTGGGGAGGCTGAGAATCTCTACATGTAGTTGTTTTTTGCTTCAGTGTAATTTTAACTATGGGCTCCCAGTGGCTGATTTGTATAGCGTTACCATTATCAGTTAGGATCACTGAAAATTAAGAATAAAACATAGATGAGGGGCTGACCATGAAGAATGAACAGCCAATCAACTTCCCACGGGATACTGGATCAAAGTGCCATATGAAATAAGAAACAAGGCTGATCCTTTGTTTACCAGTGACTGGAGTTTAGTAGACCTTGAATTTTCAGTTAAATAAATGAAGTGAATAGCAGGGTATAGAGGGAATTGTTTGCCAATAAGGAAGTGTGCAATCTTCATGGCAGAGTACTCAGATTCCCAACTGTCTTCTCTTGGATAAAAAAGATTAAAGGACAGATAACTATAGCAAGCTGGGGAATTCTAGGAAAGAGTTGTAGGCAAGCACAATTTTAATGGGATGTAGGTGGATTAAAAGTCATACACAATCCAAGTGTCCTTAACAGATGAACGGATAAACAAAATGTGATAAATACACACAATGGAATATTATCCAGCTATTAAAAGGAATGAAATTCTGATACACGCTACAACATAGATGAATCCTGAAGCCATATGCTAATTAAGCCAGACACATAAAAGGGCAAATATTATGTAATCCCACTTATATGACATAGGCAAATTCATAGAGGCAGAAAGTAGAATAAAGATTACCAGGGGGGAGGGTGAATTGGAAAGTCATTGTTCATATGTAGTTTCTACTAGGTATGATAAAAAAGTTTTGGAAGTAGGGGTGAGGTTACACTGTGAATGTACTTAATGCCAATGAATTGTATGCTTAAAAATGGCTAAAATGGTAACTTTTATGTTATGTACATCTTGCCATGGTTTAAAAAAAAAAATAATGGAAAGCACTTGGCAGTGTCTCAACACAGCAGACATGCCATACATAACTGAAACCTGAATAAAATTGTGTCTCCTTTATTTCCTATCATTTTTTCGCCTCTGTATTAGAGCCTGGAATTCTGTTACTGCAGATACATGTTCCTGGGATAAAAGGAAGAGAAAAAACACAAGGCATTACATGCAGCAAACCCATCTGGGCAGAGAAAGGGTGTGGAGAGAAAACAGAAAAGAATCAAAAGCATATAAACACAAGAGACTGACCAAAGCAAATGTAGATCGACTTTTACAGCCAGGAAACTGCCAGGGGAGAGTAAGAAAATCCTTTCCAATTTCAGCATTCTTGTCATAGTTGCCATTATGTAATAAGTATTTAATTGACCTTTGCCTCTTACATATCTTTACATGGCTTTGGTTGATTTGACATTATCCTCTCCTTGCTAGAACATCAACTTTCTCCCCCAACATTTCTTTTCACTCCTCTCCCTCAACCAGCCATATCACAAAATGGAGGAAAATTTAATATATCGATGTTATGCAACTGACACAATTAGAGGCCAGCAATTAGAGAAAGTAGTAGTGAAATTATTGCAAGAAATCTCACAGTTCTGTAGATTTGAAAACTGCCCTCAAGTTGGGCTACCACTCTTATTTTTCATTTGAAGGGCATTTTTGGCATTTGTTTTTTAATTAGATCACTTTAGCTTTACTTTATTGAGCATACTAACAAATAAGATGGAATTATATTGTAAACATAATATTCAAAATCTGTCTTATGAACCAATCAGAATATCTAATTTAAAAATAGATATATACCAACATAAAAATGTGATAGGCTTGGAAAACATTTTAAGTTGATAAGAAAGTCTCTAACAGACTGGCTCATGTACCTTTATGTAACAGCTTTGTTGGGGAGAAAGCAGCAATGAAAATCCTGTATATCATAGATAAGAGCTTTGTTATATACTAAGTTTATTTTAGTCCTCAGAGAGGCCGAGCATTTATAAAATGATCATGCTAAGAATGGTTATTTGCTTTCTGTGTGGTATGCTCCCCAGGGTGGACCTGGAGTTCCCAAGTTACTGGGATTATCCACTTTAATAAATAAGGCACTAGGGGCGCCTGGGTGGCTCAGTGGGTTAAAGCCTCTGCCTTCGGCTCAGGTCATGATCATAGGGTCCTGGGATCGAGCCCCGCATCGGGCTCTCTGCTCAGCGGAGAGCCTGCTTCCACCTCTCTCTCTCTGCCTGCCTCTCTGCCTACTTGTGATCTCTGTCTGTCAAATAAATAAATAAAATCTTTAAAATAAATAAATAAATAAATAAATAAGGCACTATACTTAGAATGGAAACATTCTAAGTATGTATGCAAGTACATGGAGTAAATAGAGAAGTGCTTCTAGTTTAGTTAATGATCACCATATTATGCTACTATTTAACTTAATCCTTTCTAAATTTCAGACCCCAAGACAAGTGAAAGCCATCTACCAACTGGGAAAGCCAATGTTATACTATGTCTAGGAGGGCATATCAGTTTAGTGAGTTTTAATTTGCCTTTAAACACCATTTTCAAATTGTAACCTATGTTATTCAAATTTAAAAATTACATAAAATGTACATAAAGCATTTTTTCTTTATGCCCATATTGTCTATTAACTAATATACTATCAAAAAATACTTATTCAATTTATGCAGGCTGATTTATTCAACCAAACCATCAGTCACAATTACTAAACACAGAACTCAATTTACTCTACCTACACTTTTAGTTCAATACTAAAATTGGGGGGGGGCTGGTTTTTATTTAAATTTCAGTTAGTTAACAGTTTAACATTAGTTTCAGGAGTTCGATATAGTGATTCAATACTTGCATACAACACCTGGTGCTCATCATAAGTGTACTCCTTCATCCCCATCCCCTATTTCATACATCCCCCCAATCCTGCCTCCCCTCTGGTAACCATCAGTTTGTTCTCTATAGTTAAGTTTGTTTCTTGATTTGCTTCTCTTTTTCCCCTTTCCTCTTTGTCTTATTTCTTAAATTCCACATATTTTAAAATTATTTTGTTCCTAAAAAAGAGAACATAACCTTAGGTCAAGAAGGCAAATATTAAAATATTAAATATTAAAAAGTTTTGAGAGTATCAAGCATTGAGGAGCATGTGGATCAGTGGGAAGGTTTATGCAATGCTGGTGGGATATAAAATTACTGCAGTAACTCTGAAAAACAATTTGGCATTTTAAAAAATTAAACATTCATATACCTAACACCCAATACAGTTCACTCTTGAACAATGCAGGGTTTTAGGGCACCAACTCCCCCTCTCCTGTGTAGTTAAAAATCCACGTATAACTTCAGACTCTTCGAACACTTTACTAATAGCCAACTACTGACCAGAAGTCATACCAGTAACATAAACAGTCAATTAATATATACTGTTTAAGTTATGTTCCTCTATTTTTATAACAAGGTGTGCTCGAGAAAATATATTCATAGTACTATAGGGTATTTATAAAAGAAAAAAATCTACACATAAGTGGACCTGTGCAGTTCAAATCCATATTGTTCAAGGGTCAACTGTTAGTACAACTTATATTCACGGAGCATTGGTTCTCAAAAATGTGGTCCCTAGGGGTGCCTGGGTGGCTCAGTAGGCTAAGCAGCTGCCATCACCTTGGGTCACGGTCCTGGAGTACTGGGATCTAGGATGGAGCCGAGCCCCAAATCGAGCAGGGGGTAGGAGAGTGGAGCCAGATTCTTCCTCTGCCCTTCCCCCTGCTCATGTTTTCTCTCAAATAAATAAAATCTTAAAAAAAAAAAAAAAAAAAAAGGTGTGGTCCCTATATTGGCAGCATTAGGCTCACCTTGGAAATATGTTAGAAATTCAAATTCCTAGCCCCACCCTAGATCTGCTGAATCTGAAGCACTGAGGATGGAGCCCAGCAATGTGTTTTCTCCATTCCTCCAACAGATCCCAATGCATGCTAAAGTTTGCAATGCACTGCCCTAGAAAAATGCTTGCATGGGTGCACCAGGATACCTACACAGGAATATTCATGGCAACACTGTTAATTTAATAGCGAAATATAAAGAAATGAAAAACCCAAATGTCCACTGACAGGAGGATGGATAAAATGGGATAGTGCTTGTAATCAATGGACTATTATAAAGCAGCAAAAATAAACTATGTGTAACGTTATGGATGTAATCTTAGAAATACTATATTGAATGGAAAATATAAGTTCAAAGATATTACATATGACATCCATTTAGGATATGTCCCAAAGATGACAAATATACAGTTCAGTTATATATAGTTATACAGATCAGTTATATCTATTAAAGATGTATATAACAAATTTAAAAAAATATATATAACTATCTAATAACTGAACTATTAAAGACACACAGCAAAGAGAAATACAGCATTCATGAAATTAGCTGACTTCACAGATAAGCAGGGGGATAGGAAAGTGAATAAGCACATTAAGTTTTGGTAATATATTTTTTCTTATGTTGTGTGGCAGGTTTACTGATATTTGGTATATTATTTTCCTCTTAAGTATTATGCATATTAATATTCTTTATATGTATCAAATGTATTTTTTAAATGTTTTAAAATTGAAGAGCAAAGTTCTTATTAATGTTTAGATCTCAATAGGCAAAGGTCACATAGATTTCATCTTTCTTCAACTTAATATAATGGATTCAAATCTGGATACTTTACATCAACAACATTTCTGACCTAATATCAAAGCCAGAAGAAAACAATTATGTCCTGGATAAAGAGTGTAAACATCAGTATAGGAGATCTATCTCACATCCCTTTATGTCTGCAGTGAGCTGGCATGGTTCCTTGTACAGAGGGTACTCAGTAAGTTCTGGCTGAAAAAATAAGCTATAAAAAGGTCTGTGACTTGCACAGCCTATTACTAAATATTCTGAAGTTAAAGCAACTCCTGTTCAAAATATACAGAAATTTTGAACTGACATTACTCAGAAGACACTTACAACATTCAGATGTCTGAGTCCTCAATTCAAATTCCTTAATGCTATTTATAGAGAATATTAAAAAGAAATAAATGGGAATTCTGAGGCATACGGAGAAAGGATGAGAGGATACACTGATCCTTTTGGAGCAACTAAAAAAACACATTTGAAGATCCCAATTTTTTAGAATTATGGCCTTCAAACATTTTTGATTATGTACCCCATCAGTAAAACATTTGGGGGCATGTGCTCAAACATTTGTATTGTATATTTACTTACTTATATATAAAGTTTACGCCACGGTCAGAAGAAACATATGATTTCCCAAATGAGGACCTTTATCGACTTTCAATATGCTACTGGCCGGTAAAAATCCCCTAAATATCATTAAATTTAGGGAAATCATGCCAAATGTAAAATTGATTTTAAACACTGAAAACAAACAAGAAAGGAAAAGAAAAACATCTTATTGTCTTTATATACTGGAAAATATTTTTAAACATCTTGCTAATTAGGGTGACCTCATTTCATCATCAGCTTATGTTTCAAAGAACAATATACTCTTAGGGAGTGGCTTACAGTTAATAACAGCTATTAAATAGGAATTTAAATAGTCTTCTTAAAATTCAGCACTTTTGGGGGTGCCTGAGTGGTCTAGTCAGTTGAGCATTCAACTCTTGGTTTTGGATCAGGTCATGATCTCAGGATCATGGGACTGAGCCCTAATTCATGCTCTGGCACTCATTGGGGAGTCTGCTTTAAAGATTCTCTCCCTCTGCCTCTCCTCCCACTTGCACACGTGCATGAGCGCCCTCACATAAATAGGTAAATCTTAAAAAACAAAACAAAACAAAACAAAAAAAACAAAAAAACCTGACACTTTGGGACTTTGTAGGTCAGAGATTTTTTTTTTCTTTTCCAAATCTCATGGTTTATATTTGGAGAAGTGGTAGCTCTGCTATCTTCTCATTGCTTACTTGTGTTCAGGTAACAGTCTTCAGTCTGCAGCTTTGAAGGAATCTTTTACAGCCACTTGGCATTTTGGTGAAGGTTAATTTAGTTAAAACTGGATAATGCAATCTTAACCCGCACTCGTATGCTTCAGTACATCACAATACACCAACATGAACCAATCGGGGAAGAAGTTTTCACGTATGAACGCACTCCCTTCTCTCAGTAGACTTGAGACCACTTGACACATTCAGTAATGGAAAACATCTGTCTTTATGGATTAAAAAATCAAGTTTTCATATGATTATATATTTCCAGGTAAAAATATAAATAAAAAGTGTAATATTTCTTCTTAAACTCTCCTGGCTCCTCTTGCACACCCTCTGTGGTGTACTACCTCACTCTGGCAAGCACTTGTGTTAGAGCACGCACAGCCCTCTCCACAACTACATCAAAGCATGTACTAGTGACACTTAATGTTCATTCAGTATATAGAAAAGTCACGGTAAGCATATGATTGTAGTTCCCTGCAGTAAGTCTCTGCCTCTCCAAGCCCAGGCTTTAGGTCCCAGTCTGGCAACCATTGAAGCAGCTTTATAGGAGGGAAACTTATTTGAAAAAACAGACACTAATCTTTTAGTTTAGAACAGGAAGCAAAAATAGAAGCTAGGTTAATAAGGAGAGACTAAAAGTGACAGATATTCCAACAGCTGGATGGGAACTCAAACTCTAATAGTAGTGCTCTGTTTCAGCATGTCTTTCTTGAACATCGTGTCACGATCATGACAATCCTGGCTAACTCTAGTCACGTTATTTACATAAACATGCAAGCTATTAACGTATTCTGTGCTCTTTTGTCAAATAAGAGTAATTACAGGTTTTTTTTTTTAATCAGCTGGAGAGAGAGGAAACACTGAGAACTTTGGCAAAGTATATGTTTTCTAATTGAGTAGTAAGGATTATAGTATGATCTGTTTTTAATATTGAATCATACTAGTATTCTTTCTCCAGTCTGGGTCTTTATGATCTTCACAACATAAATATATTTATCTTTATTTACTTGAGATGTGTTTTTTTTTTTTTCAATCTTTTGAGACTCCCTTCAAAATATTTTTAAAAAATTTAAAAATTTAAACCCCAAAACCTAATCTGGTCAAAACTAGATAGCTTTAAAATATATATGGTTAAGATTAACATAGCTGATCTTTGAAAGAACAAAATCCAGTGGTTTCAGAGGAGAATTAGAGCTAAATATTTATGACTGAGTCTAAACATCTTGTCTTTCAGAGAGAAAAAGATGCTAGATAAAACGGTCAACCAAAGGTCTGTTTTTGATAACATATTACAATTGTTTGGCTATACTAATTTTTTCTTCCAGTAACAATGTAAGTTTTAGATTATTAGTAGCTAACAGACAAAACAGGTTTAGAAAGTTAATGGTCAGAAATAGTATGAGCCCTGTGAAGTATATTTTGAAGTAATATTTATGAAAACTCAAGAACTTGAATATATGCCAGTTGTTTTTATACATTAAATCTCTAAAATCAGAATTACACAAAATTATAGTCAACAAGCTATACGTGGTTCAAATTTTTGGAGCAGATTTATTTAAAATTTCAGAGTAGGGGACGCCTGGGTGGCTTAGTTGGTTGGACGACTGCCTTCGGCTCAGGTCATGATCCCGGAGTCCACGGATCGAGTCCCGCATTGGGCTCCCAGCTCCATGGGGAGTCTGCTTCTCTCTCTGACCTTCTCCTTGCTCATGCTCTCTCTCACTGTCTCTCTCTCAAATAAATAAATAAAAATCTTAAAATAAAATAAAATAAAATTTCAGAGTAGTTCGAAAGCCATTTTTTATGCCGGGGCAAAATTACACTATTTAAAAACGTACTGTTTCCAAAACATGCAAGAAACGAAGTATTGTATTCTGGCAAATAATATAGTGAGGTCAATTTACCTTTACCTTAGACTCTAAGGCATAGTTACTTCTAGATGTCATTTAGCCACATCATAAATGTCTGCCTTGAACAGTCAAATTTTCCAAAGAAGCCGAACAAGTTTCATGGGTGGGGCAAGAGGCTTGAGAAGGAACGGAATTCATTTTGGCTTGCTCCAGCCTTGGAAAAAACATTTGGTACCACACCCTCAACAAAGGCCTAACACAGCAACTAGTAATCCAATCAACCCACTTCGGTCCATTGTGACAGTCTCCTAAGGAACTAAATAAAACAAGGCGAAATAAAAAAGTGAGTACGTAAGTTTGGCGGCGGCGGGGCTTGGGGCGCCTACAAGATAGAGAGGTAGGAACCATCAAGCAAATGTCCTTAATTTTCAATCTTCTATTCGCCCTAGGATAGAAGAATATTTGACTTATCCACCGACAGGCAGTTTTATTCTTTCTACCTGATCAACCTTCCGAGTCTGCCTTAGTTGTTAACCACCACTTTCTGGAGCAGACCATTACTCAGCACCAAGGTGGCAACGAGCGCCCTCGTACAGCCAGGGGTGGGGGGCAGCAGGGTCTTCGGGGAGGAGGTGGAAAGAGGAACACCAGCACCAAGCGCTCAGGTGATAGCGGCCCTCCCCTCGCCCTCCGAGTCCTCCGCTTTCCAGGACCCACACCTGGACGAGGGAACGATAAAGCACAAGCTGACCTGCGCTGGCCCCCAGGGCGGCGAGGGAGTCGAAGGGCAGGCTCCGGCCAGGAATCCCGCGGGTGGGGAGGAGGCCGCGGGAACCCGACGTTCACCTCCCGGACGTCCTCCACCCCGGCGCACGCCCACCTCCCAGCCCCTCTCCCCAACTTCAGCCCTCTGCCCTGCCAGCCCGTTCCGCGCTCCGCTGCCCTCTCCCCCCACAGGCGGCCAGCCTCCTACAGACCTCCTTACCTTTCCATTCTTGGGGCTGCCGTTAAGGAACAGGGTCACCCGCCTCATCGCGCTGCCCCCACTGGGTCCTGAGTGAGTCGCCACCCTCCCACCTGGCTCTCCTCCCACCTTTTTCTTCTCCCGCCCTACCCCTCCCTCCACCCACTCGGACTCTCCTCCCTTCGCCACCTTCCTTTTCTTACAGAGACACACTCGCACGCACTCTCGGTCCCACACCCCAGGGTTGGCCGGTCCTCCCTTCCCACCCCGCCCCTGGGCTCCTCAGTCAGCCTGGGACCCTTCCCCCACCTCTCCCAGACTGACTCTAAGATTCACCAATCAGCCGGCAGCGCCAGCCAGAACTCAGCCAATTATCGCCCAGCACTGGGTGGGCTCATACTAACCCAGCCCAGGTGGAGGGAGGGAAGAGAGGTTGCAGTCTTGCAGACGGGAAGGGTTATCAGCCAATCAGCACAACCTGGAGCCGAACGGCGGCTCTAGGCGTTACTGAGCAGGCGCAAACCCCCATACCAGGTAGAGCTCATCTGCATAGGGAGGCGGGGTTGGAAGGAAAGAGGTGGAGCGCTAGCAGAGACCCATACAAGTCAGCGCCTCCGCCCACTCGCTCAAACCACGGTCTAAACGGCCGCGGTCCGGACTGGATGATTGGGCAAGAGCCCGCCCGTCGTTCTGCAAGGATTGGCCCAGTGATTCTTTTCGAAGTTTGCAGCATCCAATTGCAAAGGGGGGGCGGAGCTAAGACGCTAACCGAAGGATTCCTCCGCGAGACTCTCACGGAAAGTAGTACCCCCTGGATACAGATTAGCAGCCCGTCTCTCTGGTTGGCGCGTCACCCGCAGCTAGTGGTGGCTTCTCTCGAGCTCACCAAGCCACTCCTGGTCCTGGGAGGACTAGGTACAGGCCCGGGAGAGTTCGGGGTGCGCGTGGACACGTGTGGACAACGGCGGCGTAGAGATTCCTGGATTAACTCCGACGCCAAGGAGGCGGGGCCGGAGATTTGAATCTGGCGGCGGGCGGTGGGCAGCGGCCAGCGGAGGAGAAGGTGGGGATCGCGGACGGCTGGGTTGGAGTTCCTCGGGCCGGACGGAGGCAGCTCCCGGCGGCCGGCTTGGTGGCCGACAGTTGCCTTCTCGAGCGAACCGTCAGCACCTGCACGACACTCAGGCGGTGGAACGTTCCAAATAAATCCAGTGGGAGGAGAGCCCCGCTGCGGGAGTGAGAGGTAGGGCCGGGGCCCTGGTCCTGCAGAGCTGCTTCTGGGCCGTGCTTCTCAAAAGCGTGGTCTCACTTATCCTGCTCCACGGAGATGGTGGTCCTCCTGAGACCTGAGCCGGAACCCCCGCGTGCTTTCTAAAATGCGGGTTTCCTGGAGTCCAGCCAGACCTACTTAATAGAATTTCTGGGAATCCGCAAAGCTGTGTCTGTAACAGGGTACCCAGATGATTCAGGTGTTCGCCAAGGTTGAAAAGCCATGAGTTCTAGTGTGAGGTCTGCTTTGTTGCATTCCCCAACAGCAGTTTCCTGCATTTCTCTTTTTTAAAAGCCCTCAAAATACCCTCTTGGCCTCTATTTTTGTGCCTGTATAGATTGTGTATAGATCAGAATTCAGTCTTGAATGAGAATCTTGATCAAATCTTTAATATTGAAAATGGGGTTTCTTTTCTTTTTTTCTTTTTTCTTTTTCTTTTGTTTAAGATGGATAGCGACCCCAAAGACAGCGAGCCTCTTGAAACCAAGGAGCCTGCTCTTCGTGATGATGGTATGTAGTGTTCTGTTGCCTCCTTGTAAAATGTGAGGTTTAGGTGTTTGTTTTCATAATGATGTTTAGCCCTCACAACATGTTGTCTGTTTCAGAAAATTCCTCTTTCATTTTGGGAAATGGGAATCTTGTAACTCCCCAGAAGCATGAACCTGAAGTGACTCCTAATGGTTGCACACTGGATACTTTCAAGTCACCTTTGGACTTTTCCACAGTAACAGTAGAGCAATTGGGAATTACACCTGAAAGCTTTGTAAATAACTCTTCAGGTAAAAGAAGTTTATTGCAGTGCTTTTGAAGTTTAGAAATAACTGTAATGCAGTTTTGTGCATCTAATCTACCCTCTCCCATTACTTTGACTCTACAAATGTTCCGTTAGGGAGATTTCTGTGAATATGCACGGTGCAACTAGCATAGCAGAATATTCGGTTCCCAGGGCAAGCAGCATAACGTTCAACAGTGTGCCCTGTGCCCAAACTGGGAAAGAATACACATGTGAACCACTTTTGACCTGACTCCTCTAAGTAGTAATAAATTTTATGCTTACATATGGCAAAAATACGAGAAAGTTGAGCTATTAGGAAAGATTGGGTATGCCTCTTTCAAAATCACAAGCAAAGTTGACTCGGACGAATCTGCAAGGAGTAGAAATGAAATTCATCTGTGAAGTCGGATTTAGGTAAGAGAGGAAATAAATGTGAAACTGGGATCAGATTGGAGAAGAGTATTTAGAAATAGAAGGTGAAGGAAGGCTGAAAAGTCAGAGGGCACTAGACTGAATAATGCATGTTGTAGACAAGACCACAGTGATGTGCCATTCTGTGTTCCATTCTCAAGAACGTTATCCATAAGCCTTTAAAGAAAAAACTGGATTCATTTTGTGCTCTTCAGCATGCGGCCAAAATGCAGCGTAGCGTGTGGAAGGTGGATTGGTTTCTCAGAGAAACAGGATTTTGAAGAATTGAGAACATGGGAGTACACGTGCCAAAGTGGAGAGAGCTTTCTTTTCAGTTCTTGGGGATAAGACAGACTAATTCCGAAAAAAGAGAAGTTATTAGTCCAAAGCTAGACATTACCCATTCCTGTGTGCAGGAAATATAAAACAAAAATGAGAACTATTAAAATATGTGTTCATGTACTCATTCCACAACTCTCTGATCAATGTTTTCTATGTGCCAGGCACTTCCAGAAGCAAGGAATAAATCAATAAACAAAGATCCCTATCCATCTGATGATGTGTGAATAAGTTCCTCTATAATTCTCTGTTTAGATTTCCATAATAGGTACTTCTCATGTTCTCTCTTAGGCGGGTATATTACAGGGAATTCAGTACATGATTACTCATGATTGCCTTGTTTTGTTCCAATTTAAAAGACAGTTTTCGTTATAGGAAAGTCCTCATCCTACCTTAAAAAATCCAGACGACGTTCTACAATCGGTGCTCGGGGCTCCCCTGAAACAAACCATCTTATTCGTTTTATTGCTCAGCAGCGGAGTTTAAAGAAGGCAGAGAAGTCTCCTTTGACACAGAATTCCCCTTTTCTGGTATGATATTCTTCTAACTTCTGTCATGAATTCTCTTACAAAGCTTTCATACCGTGTTTCTACCTTCTTGTGCATCTCATCTGTTTTTGGAGCTGGGGAGGTAATGTTTTCTCTGTCTTTACGGCGAGTGTTCAGTTTTCACTGATACTGACGTTGAGCATGGCTATGTTAAGAATCAGGAAATCCTGGATAGAAATGGTTTTCTAGAGGAGCTATTTTATTTTGCAGGGTTTTTTGTTTTGTTTTGTTTTTGCCAGTTGTTTTTCTCTACAATGAAGTGAGGTAGTGTTTTTCAACCTTTTTCTTTTAATATTTATTCTTGAAGCATCTTAATTTCTTTTTGAGTAAGAGTTCCCCCAGGACAAAATATATTTGGGAAAACCTGACGAAAAGGAAAAAATTACTTGTCTGCTGATGAGGAAGGATATAGCTATTTTTGCGGATTTTTATAAGAATAATCCATGTTCCTAAAAAGTCAATAGTGTGCAACAGTGTCTATGAAAGACACAGTTAACGCTTCCCCTTCTTGAAGGACAGCTACTTATATTGTCTCTTTTGGTACTAGCCTTCCTATTTTAAAATGTACTTTATTGCCACTTCTTTATTTTTCAGTTTTAGACACTATACACAAGGCTACATAGTGCAGTGGTTCTCAGAGATTATCTGACCATCCCGGGGAGCTCAGCGTCCCATTCAAGAGGTCTGTGAGGTTAAAACAGGTTTTTGTAATAGCGCCAAGGTGTTTGCCTTTTTCCACTATGTTGTTTGCATTCACAGCACAGAAGCAATGGTAGGTAAGATTGAAGGCACCAAGCTATCATTTTATTCCACACTCCTAAGCCTTCACAGGGAATGATAATGCCAGGTTCATTTACTATCCCTGATGATGATGCAGTGAACATTGTAAATTTTATTCTCCACCCTTGTGTTATGTGTGATTGAAATGGGAAGTATGCTTCAGGCACTTCTAAAGTACATACAGAAGAATAATGGATGTTCTGGAAAAAAAAAAAAAAATCATGTGTGTAATTGTTTTGAGCTGTAATCTGAACTCTGGCCACTTTTTTTCATGGAGCATCATTTTTACTTGAAAGACTGACAGTCATCATGCTTAGTCAGACTTGGAAATGTGAATAACATTTTCTCAGAAATGGACAGTTAACCTGCCCCTTCAAGGAAAAATGGAAATGTTTCTTACTGCTTAAAAAACTTGAGTTTTCAGGAGAAAATTAGAATTTGGAAAACTTGTGCTCAGTACCATGAGTTTGAGAACTTCCCACTAGCTAAACTTTCCTGATAAGATCAGTGGAGATATTAATGTATGTGATTTTCTTTAATACTACATAATAAAAGGTGTCAACATTTGGAAGATCTGCAGAAGTAAGTGAACCAGTATTTCCCTAATAACCAGTGCATGGAAAATATGCCCTCAAATTGCAAGAGACTCATAGGTTTTAGCCCACAGAATATGAAGGTTCATTGACAGAATTTCATATTTGACATTGCAACTGACTTTTAGGAAATCTTTGGGTTTTATGTTCCATGAAAGGAAGAGTAGCCACAATTCTGGAAAGCCTGTTAAAACACTCTTGATAGCTATCGTGCATATGAACTAATAACCTATTGTGATTCCCTATCTTTTTTATGGCCTGTTTTTTCATTTTAAGCTCTGTTCTTGTATTAAATAAAGAACATTGTGGCCTGTTAGGGACATTATATTTTTCTGGATGTTTTCGTCCTCCCCTTGCAGGATCTCTTTGCCTTCAGGTTCCATTTTGCTACCTGATTAGTTCAGACTCTGACTCATGCTCCGATCTTTCTTCAGGTATCTAGTGATCCTTGACACTCTGTTCATTTTTAAAAGTGAGACAC